ATTTGTTAGGTAATTTTCAGATTGCAAAGGGCCAGGCCTTTCATATGCAAAAGCCTCTGCGCACAGCTTGGGTGGGGCGGGGTCTTGGGGGATCAACAGGGCGGAGCAAGCAGCTAATGGCTGCTCCTCAGTCCTACCCTAAGAGGCCCCGTGTCTCAGTGTCCCAGTAATCGCTGCAAGCACCTCTGAGAGAAAGCTGCCCTCGAGTTCCGCCCGCTGCCAGACAGTCCAGTTTCTCCCCGTATGAGTCTGGGTCCCCAGAGACTCGCCCGGAACTGGAGTCAGGGCCGTCGGGAGCTTGTGCCTCCCTCCCAATTGTGAAAGACACCGGCGTCCTCCGTTGCCAGCCCCTTTCTGCACATGTGTACCTCTGCACATTTGAACTGAGTCTTTTTTTTATTTTTTATTTTATTGGGGTGACTGAGTCTTAAGGAGTAAATTAGCATTTCAGGTAGTGGGCCCAAAACAAAGGCAGAAAAATGAGAGAACCCAACATTTTAGTCAGCTTTTGGGCATGGTCAGACCTTTGAATGCCTAGGAGTGTGGATGTTGATTTGTGTTTTATACAAACTACTCTCACCTTAGCTGGTTTGGCTCAGAAGATAGAGTGTTGGCTTCCGAACTAAAGGGTCCAGGGTTCTATTCTGGTCCAGGGCACATGCCTGGGTTGTGGGCTCGATCCCCAGTTGGGGGCTTGCAGGAGACAGCCAATCAATGATTCTCTCTCATCATTGATGTTTCTATCTCTCTCTCCCCCTCTCCCTTCCTCTCTGAAATCAATAAAAATATATTTAAAAAATATATAAAATAAAGGTAATTGGTATTCAAACTACTCTGACAGTGGAATGGAGACCAGAATGTAGGGAATAGACAGAAAGCAGAGAGCAGATATAGGGAGCGAAATTTATGAAGTCCTGAAGGTGGTAAAGAATAGAGAAAAATGGATGAGTTCAACTGATGGGACAGGCACAGTGGTCTATTTCTGGCTTTGGTTTTTCTAGTGACATTTTTTCTTTAAGTTTCTCTCACTTGGAAATCCATGCTCCCCACCTCACATCTTCCTTCCCGCCCCTAGCCTGTGGATTCTTGCATAAACAGCTGCTCTGAGCTTTATTCTATTTCAATTTTTTGACTAAGCAATACATTTCTATAACTGAAAAAGTTAAAATCAGTTGAAAGGTTGTAAATGAGGACTCCCGACCACTCAGTCCCACCCTCTTTCCCCCTTGCCCCTTAGAGCTACCGCTTTTATTACTTTCTTGTGGATCCTTTCAGTGACTCCTTGTTTAAATGCCAAGTACATACACATATAATTATTACTTTTATTTCCTTCAGACACAGCCAGGGTCCTGCTTTGTACCTTTCTAAATCGGCCCAGAGAGCTTCCTCATTCTTCTTTATAGCTGCACAACTGCCCATTGGTTTAGCTTAATTAGTCTGCTCTGAGTTTATTCCCTGGACCTTGCTATTGGCTTTGCTGAGCAGCCTCCAGGTTTACCTGATAAACCAGCGTATTTTCTTTTTTTTTTTTCTATAGAGAATACTTTTTATTGTACAGGTATCATATACACAATTTAATGTGTGAACATTTACAGGCATGGAGTTCAATTCCAAATCTCCATGGCACCCCATACACTGCACCGCGCACTCCTGTTTGGGATTAGCCCAACAGGAATGAGACACAAAGTTATCGCTTTGTGAACAGAGAGCTTCAATTAAATAGAACAGAGCCCAGGATCCTAATTCGTAACACCCTGTGTACATATGAATAAAACCTAAAGATGTGTTTTAGATGACCCCATCACCTTTAAAAGTTATTAAAATGGAACCCCATTTCTCAAAAAGTCACTAAGAAGTGCACCCGTATTTACAGACCCGATTAAATTATGCATAAATAAAATCTGTACACGAGACACATTGTTTCTCAAAATAACAGCGCCTCCTCTGGGACCTGGGGGTTGACAGGCAGCAAAAAAACGCTTCATGCCTGCCCTTTTCAAGTTTACTCGAATCACCAAGATGTGAAATAAATATGCAAATAAAGCTTCAGTACCTTAAAGGAACATGTCATTTCAAAGAATCTCCCATTTGTAGAGTTAATTTTCAGTTAAAAAACAAACAACATAAAATCAGCAGGCTTTGTTTCTACGTGTTTGGTAAAACCCAAAAGCCCCTTTTGAACAAGGGGATTTTTAAGTGTGTTCAATACCACCTGTTAATTAGTTGCTAAGCGGAGTCTGCCTCCTACTGAACGCAGGATTTGATATCTGAAGATGCTAGATAAACACTTTTTTCTAAAGATAAATATTTAGTGGGCAGGGAGCCAGCAATGACTTTCACACTGAGTTATTATTGATTTGAATCACATAGATTTGACATTTCAACAGCTAAGCATGTGGAGGTTTTGTTAGCCCAGGGGATGGATTTAAAAGGTTTGAAAACTTGTAGCACCACTTTCAGAGACAGAAGAATGGGGTTCAAAATAAAACATAAGCTTAATGAATAGAGAACCAGTACTTGTCACCTTCTGATCACTTGTCCAGAGTTAAGGAGACGCTTCAGCGCCAGAGAAATACTAAGGGCTCCCAGAGGGCAGGTCCAACTGGGGGGGGGGGGCAACAGGCCTTTCAATGGGAAGGCAAGTACCAGCTCAGCTTGTCCCCCCAGGCCGAGGAGTCTCCCCATCTGTGCCGGTGAGAGTGGTTGGGGATTCCCTTTGTTTCACCTGTTTCATTTCCGATGCTTCTCCATCTTCTCCGAGGTCTTGCTGGAATCGGCTGGACTCTGGTCCCCCGGGATTCATGTAGGATTTCTCTATGATGACCAAAGCCTCTTTTATGTAGTTCTGCATCACAGACACGGCGGCACAGATGGCCTGGCTGCCAAACCCGTGGGTCACCAGGCTGAAGCGAGACAGGTAGTTCTGAATGTCCGCCTCTAGGACGGGGTCCGGCCGGTTGTTCCCGATGGGTGTTCGGTCTTGGTGGAGAAGGTCCGTGAATTCTTGACACACTTGCTGTGCGGCCAGCAGCATGTTCTTCCTCGTTGCCATCTCATTCCGTTCTCCAAGATGAGGTCTGGTTAAGTACTCGGCCACCGACTTACTAGGAAACTCAGCTTCACAGACATACCCAAAGCCCCGAGCCAAATGAACGGCCTCCCCTTCTACTAAGGACGTCAGGAGGGTGACGCGTGCAGCCTTCCGTCTGCGGGCTGGAAGGTTCAGCCCCATCTTGTCCAGCTCCTCCCGCAAGAACCGGTATCCATCTTTACACTTGGCTCTTCTGAGAACACCTCCCAGTAATGAGGCATTTAAGCACTCAGGCGGGGACAATCGCCTCTGGATTTCGGCAACTGTCACTATGTATTTCGACGTGGAGCTCTGGAGGGACAATCTTCCGCGGACGGAGAAGACCTCACCCGGGTTCATCACAGCCCCCACCAGCTCCTTCTGACAGGGGAGACTCAAGGGATCGTTGGTCATTGAAATGGGATCGTTGCGAATCACAGTCTGATCATGCAGAAGCAGGTGCTGCTCATCCACGATCTGCACCTCGTCCATCTGTTGCCCCATGTCATGAAGGCCCAGGTTCTCCGCCAGCCCCGCTGCGTCCAGGGCGTGCGCGGCGGGCAGCAGCAGGTCCGAGCGGCGGAAGCCATCCCTGC